TATTGAGTGCATAACTGAACATGATTATTTGAAGGTTGGCGTTTTTTGTATTAAAAACACTTGTCTTTCATTGGTGGGATGAAATATGCTAATTTTTTGGGACAGGCATTTTGGGTTTTCATGAGCTGTATGCCATAATCATCAGTATTAAAACAATTAAAGACCTGAAATATTTCAGTTGGTGTGCAATGAATCTGAAATATATGAAAGTTTCATTTTTATCATTACATTATGGAAAATAATGACCTTTATCAAAATATGCTAATTTTTTTAGAAGGACCTGTAGTGGAAGGGCAAAATGTGGCAGGAGAAGATGCACCAGCAACAGAGATGGCCATGGGCTTCAGTGGATTATCAACCAGAGAAGATTCAGAATCTGTCAGAGATCCAGAAAAAGTGGAATGAGGCGGGGGTCGCAGCTTCAAAAACCACCACATTCAGACTCATCCAGGAGACGGACTACAACTGCTGGGTTCCTCAGTCCTATTTTCCGATGAAAGTAAAGTTAATTCAGAAATCAAGGTCCAAGGGTTTGGAGGAAGAAGGGTGAGGAACAGAGCCCATACTGGTTGAGGTCCATTGTGAAATATCCACAGTCAATCATGATCTGGGTGCAATGTCGGGTGCAGGTGTTGGTAAACTCTGCTTTCTTAAATCCAAGGTCACAGCAACAGTCTACCAGAATGTTTTAGAGGACTTCATGATTCCTTCTGCTGAGGAGGATCTGTATGGAGATGCAGATTTCATCTTCCAGCAGGACCTGGTCCCTGCCTATGCTGCCAGAAGCACCAAAACCTGGTTTGATGCCACAGTGCTTGACTGGCCAGCCAACTGGCCGGACCTAAACCCCATTGAGAATAATAATAATAATAATAATCATCATTTTATTTAAAAAGCGCCTTTCATGACACCCAAGGACACTTTACAGAAAGAACAAAGATCAACAGGAATAAAGAATATAAAATACATACAGAATATAAAATACGTAAACAATATAAAATACATACAGCAAAGTTAAGGATAAGCGAGTCTAAAGAGATGTGTTTTCAGAGCAGTCTTGAATATAGAAAGAGAGGTGGTGTTTCTTAAGTCAGGGGGTAGAGAGTTCCAGAGATGAGGAGCAGAGCAAGTGAAGGCCCTGCTCCCCATGGTGGAGAGGTGGGCAGAGGGTACATGGAGGTGTAGTGAAGAGGAGGATCTGAGAGAGCGAGAGGGGATGGAGATGTGTAGGAGGTCAGATAGGTACGGAGGGGCAAGGTTGTGGATAGCTTTGAAAGTGAGAAGAAGAATTTTGAAGACGATGCGTGATTTAACCGGGAGCCAGTGGAGCTGCTGCAGGACAGGAGTGATGTGGTTATAGGAGGAGGTTTGAGTGATGACACGGGCAGCTGAGTTCTGGACCAATTGTAGACGGTTAATATTTCTGAGATGGAAATAGGCAGACTGAGTGACATTGTTGATGTGTGAAGTGAAGGAGAGAGTGGTGTCGAGGATGACACAGAGACTCTTGACCTGAGGCGAGGGGGATAGCAGGGAGTTGTTAAGGGGGATGAGAAGATTTTCTGATTTTGAAATAGAGTTTTTGGTACCGACAAGAATGATTTCTGTTTTGTTACTCTTTAGTTGTAGGAAGTTGTTAGAAAACCAGTGATTTAGCTCATTGAGACAGTCTGTGAGGATGGAGGGTGGATGGGTGGAGTTTGGTTTTGTTGACAGGTAGAGCTGTGTGTCATCAGCATAACAGTGAAAATGGACACCAAATTTACGGAAGATGTGACCTAGAGGAAGGAGGTAAATGATGAAGAGGAGGGGTCCGAGGACAGAGCCTTGGGGGACACCCGTGGAGACGGGGGAAGACTGGGAACGAAAGGATTTGAGCTGAATGAATTGAGTGCGGTCAGAGAGATATGATTTGAACCAGTCTAACGGAGTACCTGAGATGCCAATGGAGGTTAGTCTGTTGAGGAGGATAGAATGACAGATTGTGTCGAAGGCAGAACTTAGATCCAGTAAAATGAGGATAGACAGAAGAGCAGAGTCAGCAGCAAGAAGAAGGTCATTAGTTATTTTATTAGAGCTGTTTTGGTATTATGGTGGGGGCGAAAACCAGATTGAAACTCTTCATAAATGTTATTGTTGGATAGGTGAGAGTCAAGTTGACTAGCAATGGCTTTTTCAAGAACTTATCTATGGGTCTTCTCAAGAGGAACAACAAGCATCAAGAAAATCTGGGCTTCCATAACTCCCAGTCAATGCCACAGGCTGATTGTCTCAATGCCACGTCACATCGAGGCAGAGATTAAGACAAAGAGATTCACAACCAACTATTGAAGATTGACATATTGATTTGAAAGTACCAGATTTTGATTGATTTGTTGTGATCCTAATTATTTCTTTCCTGCAAAAACTGAGTAGTGTGGGCTGATGTCTTCACAGTATTCTAATTTTTTGAAATCCTCCTGCATGGCAGGAGTCGACGAGGGACAGGATGGCCCCCAGAAACCGTCTTAGCTCCAGCAAAACTGGTTGGTCCACTTGGAGTTTACTGCTTGGTGGGGAAACAGTTTATTGGAACTCCTCTGACTGATGAAGCCCTCTGGATAGAGGGCAAAACTCTATAAAAAAGAAACTGTCCAGATGACCCGACTGAGAATTATTGGATTTGGTACCTGGATGATTGAGCATGAACTTTGTTTTTTTTTTAATCCTGTTTTCGTGGGTTTCATGAGCTGGAAGTCCAAATTATGTAAGAATAAACAAAAATACTTGAAGTTGTTTAAATTGTGGTCACTGAAACTATCATCTATTAAAGATGAACTTTTTGAATAGAATTATGGAAATTAAACAACTTTTCCATGATATTCTAATTTGTTGGAAAGGGTCTGTATATAGTTCTGAAAATTAACTGTTAATTTACCGGTAATTGTAAATTTCTAAATATCAACAATGGCTAAATTGTTACATTTAACTTCAGTATAGTTCATATACAGTAATTTTTCTGAAACTGTTCAAACGTTTTGAGCAGTGAATGTGCAGTTTCTTAGAGACTGAAAACAATTTGTCTCCCATTAATAAAAATTTTCAAATGATCCATTATTGGGGCTGACAGTACTATGATAATTAAAAAATATATATACACATTTAGGAACTTGATTCATTTTATTGTAAATGGAAACATTTTTCATGGATTTAGTTTTCTTAAAAAACAAAAAAAAAAAGAATGTTCACAATGAAACACTAATCATCACCAACAAACCATCACAGTCCTTACAACTTGAGTTTGCTGACAGAAAAACTTTTTTGTTTCTTCTTCTTTGAAGACTGGTCCTTGACACTTTGGATCTGACTCTTGACCTGATCCTGCAGCTGAGAGAAGAAGGCCTGAGAGGACCGCACAGCTTTGCCTTTTCCCTCGTCCTAAAAAAGGAATAATGCATCAGATGAATCATTTCAGGTGCAGGTCGTGTTAAAGTAACAGAGTTTATTCAGGCATGGTAAAAGCAAAAACTACAACAAGATGAGCTGGTTTGTGATATGCAGGTCAACAGTGAGCTGATGCAGAATAAAAAGTAGAACATTTAAACTGTGCCCTTTGGAATGAACCAAAGCACTCAAAACCTTTGAAAGTCAATTGATGTCAAATAGAAAGCAATATAAACATAAAGATTCATTCTTCTGTGCGCAGGATCTGGTCTAGGGCTGCAACAACAAATCGATAAAATCTAAAAAAAAAAAAACAATAATAAAAAATCGATTTTGAAAAGTGTTGGCAACGAATTTCATCATTGATTCGTTGTGTCGTGCGTCTGTCACCATGTTGCAGAGCAGTTTTCTTCACCTGCAGGGCCTTGTCAACGCTGGCTAAAAAATAAAATTAAATAAAAAAAACAACTCTGCAGAGTGAGTTGAACAGAGAGCGAAGAGGAAAAAGAACAGAGGAGGGATTTCAAAAGAAATCAAGTAAATTGTACAAAATGACAGACGCCGAGAAAACGGTTTGACTCAAGTCCTCCAAAGTGTGGGGGCACTTCACGCTTCACAGAGTTAAAAACTGTGCAACATGCAGCTTTGAAAAAGTGACGACATGACACGGGAGAACCACAGAGAAACACAAACATGTGGGAGTCATCAATGAGGATGAAGGATCAGCAGCAGAGAGTGTCTACAACATTCACATCTGTTCTGTTTCCAAGGGAGAAAAGAAAACGTCAGTCTCTCTGGAAGAGGAAGCTGTTGCTGCTGGTTGATCTGATTATTGACAGAGAACGTGTGTGTTACTGTTTATATCAAATTAATTGGTACAAGCAGTGTTTAAATGTGATTTATAAGTCTAACACAAAGATGGTAATATTTTAATGATTAACTTCATATTATCATTTGCAATCAAAATCTGAAGACACTGCATGTATGATAGGATGAATAGCATTTAAACAGGAATTAAAGTCATTTATTACATATACTCAAATGTGTGCAATTAAGTACATATATATACATACATACACGAACATACAAACAAATTACACATACATATATATACACATACATACACACATATATATAGACAAATACAAATAAATACACATACATATATATGTATATACACACATACATATATATATATATATATATATATATATATATATATATATACATGTAGTGGACTAGGCCTGATGTCAAAACTGACCATATGGGACTGAAACTGTCATTTCAGTGATTTGAATCCAGAAATACAGGTTTCTTGAATTAATCAAGTGGAAAAAGACAATTCTCTATGATCATTACTATTTTACAAATGTTTTGATAATCAAAGTGTTTTGGTTCAAACAATGTCTACATGTTGAAGTGAACTACTCATTTTTATTTATTTAAACAGTAGTAATGATTCTTAATCCTCAATTCAAAGTGAAATCAAGTTAGAGTACGTTACAGAGTAATGATTCAATTTCTTGATCGTCTGCTTTGAAGTGAGCAAATTTGTAAGTGTGTCAAAGTTCGAGTTTCGGTCAACTGAAAGTTTACTGAAAAGAAATGTCATGTTTAACTTTTACAGCAAGATACTGGGAGAGGAGACGCCACGAAGTCTGGTTTTTCCATGATATCTTTCTGTCTGTTCTTAAACAATTTGAATCTTTTCCTTGACTTTTAATAACACCTTACATCACAAACCACACCTCTGCTTTGGTCCATCGACCAATCAAAAAGCTCTCAAATGAACCGGAAGTAGAGCCCATAAAAATGTTGGCACTTCCTAGTTCAAAGAAGAGTTCTAGAGAAGAGTACTACAGAAGAGTTCAGCTCAGTCTTGAAGCTGCTGTAAGCTCTGTCTTGAAGATGGAGTAGCAGTTCAAGCAGAGAGTTTTTGGAATTCAGAATGCAGAGAGTTTGGGAGTTCCTGAATGCAGAACGCGGGCATTCAGGATGCTGCTGAATTAGAATCAAGCTGAACCAGAGACGATTTTGGGAATTATAACTTCTGTTTGGATAACCTCACACGACTCTCGAGGTTCGAGCTGTCCTCACGGAGACGCTGAAAGAGTTGAAAGGAGAGCTCTACACCGATGCTGAAGCTATCATCTGCAAGGTAAAAGTTCTATTTCGACCAAGCGTACCGTTGGCCCAAGCTGGAAAAGAAGGAGCGTGCTGTTCTGGTTAAAACAGACAAATTCCCTCACACAT